CAACAATGAAATAATAATAATACAAATTAGTATACATACGTTGCACATTGCACGCGTAGATCAGATCTCACCTTTAACGATCGAGATCCTTACCTAAAAAAACGCATGTTGTACGAACAAGCATACGTATATATATATATATATACGTATAATATAATATAATAATATATTAATAACATATTAATATATATTATTTCTTCTTCTTCATCTTCTTTTTCGTAGTCGTCGTCGTCGTCGTCGTCGTCACATATGTCGTAACGTCATAACGACAATGTCAATCATCGCATCAACGTTTTTTATACGATTTTGTATCGAACACATACACATAAATGATCCGTAAGATACTGCATTTTTTTCTATAAAGAGGATATCGTTCATCCCGTATATTTCTAAATAAAGAAATTAGAAAAACAAAAAAGAAAACTAAAAAAGAAAGAAAAATGAAATGATTCGCGACAAAAGCCGCGATTATTAATAAATAATGAAACGCACAACGCATAAATTTCACAGCGGCCGCGAATAATTTCCCGTAAGGATCGATTTTTCGTCGATTTTCATCGAAACTATTGAAATCGAGGAACAAGAGAGAGATCGATCGATCGTAGGAATGATCGATGATGGATGTTCTTGTTTTAACGAATCCGAAAGAGATCTTTATTCCGAGCACAACTTTCTAATTTAAACTCGAGCCGACGATTTCGAAATCGTTCAATAATTTTCTTCGGCAATATGTCCAACGTTAATTACGTCATTGATATTATTTCGAAGATCCGTAGATCATCATCGAAATAATCGATAACGACTAACACGTGTCACCATACACACGCGCACGCACGCACACATACATACATACATATATACATAAATACGTACATTTAACTGACGAACTATCTTCGCGTATATTAAAACTTCGATCATTTCGAATGGCTTAGGCCTTTAAGAGTGAACACCAATGTGTGCTCTTCTCTTCACACATACACGCATACAGTTACGATAATTATGTTATTTAAATTAATATCAGCGCGCGTTTTAATAACTCTTATGGTAACCCTTTGTTTTTATTTAGTTTTAAAAAAAAAAGTATAATAATAGTAATTATTATTATTAGTTCTCGATCCTTTGTATATATATATATTCGCAAGACTCAATAAAAAAAAAAAAAAAAAAAAAAAAATATCGGCTGTGATGTAGTAATTTCAATATATCCTTAATTAAATACAACGACGGTCTGAAAATTAATATTAAAAATAATGAAAACGTTAACGGTGTGGAGGAATTTTTAGGTACAAAAAGACGCATCACCTTTTTTTTTCTCTTTTTTCTTATTTATTTGCAATATTTTCATATAATTGGTAACTGATTTCGGATAACTAGTATACTAAAAACCTAAACAACGTACGAAACATTATACATAGTTGTCTTAGATGTGCTAAGGCGGCTATTTACAATATTGTGTTGAGTCACACACGTCGATTTATTTATAATCTTTTTCTTCTACTCCTCCTCCTCCTCCTCCTACATGTTCTTCTTCATCTTAACAATGCGAGCAGACATATCTCTGCATTATACCGGCCGTGCAATGCCAAACATTAGTATTATTTATTTATTTATTTATTTATTTATTTATTTATTTATTTATTTATTTATTTATTTTTTATTTTATCCTTCGATCCTCATCTCTTATCTTTTATTTTTATTTTTATTTTTTTGTAAAACTTCGTGTTTCATCTTTTTTTTCACGCTTCCTCAATAAATTCTCTAAAAATTTCAAAAACGAAGCTTAAACAATCCATAATAATCAATTATACAATTAAATATTTATTTATTTATTTACTTATTTATTTATTTATTTTTTTTTTTTTTTTTAAGTATGTCTTTCTCTCTCTAATCAAACAATTGCAACGAGGTAAGTTTTAAAAATTTTATTTTCAATAAAAAATAAATAAATAAATAAATAAATAAATGAAAAAAAAAACCAAATCGTCATTTTGAAAGAAGTTTCAAAGAAAAGACGTAGAAAATTGAGCAAAGAAAATTGACAAAGCAAAAGCCTTTTCTATTGGAGGAACGATGCACGAATAAAAAAAGAAAAAAGAAAAAAGAAAAAAAAAAGAAAAAAAGAGAAGAAAAGTTAAAAGGAAAAATTAAAATAAAATAAAATAAAACAAAATAAAATAAAATAAAAATTTGTACGTATAAAGGAGTTCCTATGTTTAGACACATAAATCGTATAAGATACATAACACATACCTTCTTTGAAAATTCCCGATTAAACAACGATTTGTTATTTTATTCGTGATGACTCGACAAATGTCTATATTACATTAATAGTAAAAGGGCGGTGTGAATTGAACCGAGAGACTGGATATAGTTACATATTTTATGTATGCATATATATATATACACGTACATATATACACACACATATATATATATAAATCGAATGAAAGAAAACCAGCCTTTCGAATTGTCCCTTTGTGTGTGTGTTAATTCAACGTAC